ACCTATTCCTCTATACGTATTGCCGTTGCCCCTCTCTTTCCTTCATGCTCTGTTCCCAGTCATCAACCCTCACCTTTCCCCAGCCATTTTCCCTAGCTTTTACTGTGCCTATATTTCCTCCACGTCACGGCCACCCCAAAATTCTACCCATATACTTTTGCGGCCGCACAAAGCATCCCTTCTTCCCAGCCACACCCCATAATTCATCATGTCAACCCTTTCACAAAAGCCACCAGCTTTCAACCGCTCTCTTGGCTGCTGCTCATCCCTCACTTTCACCCCCTGCCTTTACGACAACCTCCCCATTCGACTCCGACCTGTTGTCCAACTGCCCTTCACCACCTCCACCTTCGCCTTCGCTCTCGAGTGTCTTTTTATGTTTGTTGTATTATATTTCCTATTTTAAAGATTCTTCATTGTAACTTATTTGAATTTCAACAATAATATTTGCAATTCTATTATTATTTGGGTTAACTCCATTATCATTTGTCTTTTCCTAGGGTTTCTTAACATTTTTCTTATCCCTCGACCAAATTTGTTTTTTCTATTTTCTTGCCCACTTTCACCTCCCATTCCGAACCCTAGTCATTAGGCTCGGCTCGTTCGAACTTGCTCGTGTTCGAAATCGGCTTGTGTTCGAAATCGGCTTGTGTTCGAAATTGGCTTGTTAATAGTATTTTCGTGTTCGACTCGATTTAAATATTCGTGTTCGTGTTTGACTCGAAATTGACTCGTTAAAATTAAATTGAAAAAAATAGATGTACTGTGAGATTCGAACCTGAACCAAATATATACAAAATAAGGCGGTAACCACATTACCACATAAGATGTTATGAATTAAATTTAGATATAAATATATATAATATATTATTACATAAATAGTTATATAAATTTTTTTATTTAGAGCTAAAACGAACCGAACACGAGCGAATAAAGAGCTGTTCATGTTCGACTCATTTATAATTCGGGCTTTAAAAATTTGTTCTTGTTCGGCTCGTTTACTTAACGAACGAGCCGAACAAGAGCTACTTAACGAGCTAAACACGAGCTGTTTGCCAACAACGAGTTTTTTTGACAGCCTTACTAGTCATGCCACCGAGGAGATAAATGCACGAGTCTATCCAGAAAGAGATACATCAAGATATACGACGACTTTAGCAGAGGCTTGCGGACATTGAGAATGAAATCCAGGAGGAAATTACACTTGGCTGTGATCTAGAGAGTCGAAGGAGAGGGTGGGAGAATATGAAGATGAAGCGGGAGATATAACGCCAGTTTCTGCCAGCTTACTAAGGACAGAGTGTTTAAACCATAGCTTCGGAAGTGGAGAGACCACATTACTAATTGACCACCGCATCTTATAGGAAAAGTTCAACCTTAGGATCTAACAGCCAGAGTACACCCCCAGGAGAACTCCAAAAAATGGATTCAGAGTGGAGAACAGGTGGAAACAATCCACATCTCTAAATCTGTCAGAGCTAGGAAGCGTTGTAAGTGCCACAGATTTGGGCATAGCGAATTAGAATGCACAATCAGGAGAGTGATCACTTTCACTGATCATATAACAATTAAAGAAATAAATGGTGATTCAGAAGAACATAAAGACTTCAGAGAGTGTTCTCAATTTTCAGCTAATGAGGAAGAGACACCATTGATTTTAGTTGACCACAAGATAGAGATTCCAGTTGATGTAATAATAGCTATTTCAGAAGGTAGCGACTCTGATGTAATCGATGTTCCAACAAAATATGAGATTATGGTGCCTCGAGCTAGCCTTTTGCAGGGGTTGAGAGGAGCATCAACAGGACGACATTGGATGTCCAAAGCGGCCATGAGTTTGAGGAGCCGATATTAGACCTAGGACAACCCTAGATAAGAAAAATTCAGACCTTCAGATCTATACACTCATTCTTGAGTTGCCCCTACCAAAGGAGGTCTTGTATGTCAGAAATGAAATTTTTTTTGTGCCATGTTGGGAATATTTCATGGAGTTATTCATATGTTAAATTCAACTTAGAATGATACCTATGATCAGTTGTTTAAACAGAAGGGATGAACGCCAACTTTAAAATTTGTCTCAGGAGCTTGATGGGGAAGAAAATTTTTTAATGAGATCCACTGAGTACTTGCTAGTGAGAATAATGCAAACTGACACAGATTCCACCTCAACGTTGATCTCTCCTCACTTATTGGTTTATCAGCTATATTCCGCTGAGTACGAAAAGTGGAAGAAGAAGGTTCTAGACTTAAGGGATCAAGAGTTACATTGCAGAAACCTACATCTATATATAACTCTAGCTCAAGATACGCCTAGAGATGGTGCATATTTATTTTATCAAAATATGTTGCGGAATGACAACACCTACATGATCGATCTACTAGGGGACTACAATATCTCTGCTATAGGCAATGTGACATACCTGATACGGTGATACGAGAAACCAGAAGTTTCGATGAACGAATTCGATGCTTCCTCAACCCGAGGAGATTAACTAAGGGGCTAGGGCTGATAGGCCCCAATCGGTTCAACAAGAAGCTGCCGGTTCAGTAGGGAGGCCGATTCAGCCGAACCCTGCTTAGGGTTTGGAGTGCTGCTTTCTGGTAAAACCCCATCCTAGTTATGTTTTATTATACATAGGCTGTTTTTTGTGTTAGGGTTAGCTTTTGGCTGAGTGTTTCTATCAGGACACATGCCAATGTGCCCTTTTTCTTTCTAGGGTTGTATTTGACATCGAGAATGTGTTCTGACTGTAATTGGACCTGTGGTGGTGTATCCTTACCCTTTTTCCTTGGTTTGCTCGCTGCCATGCACCGCACATCCCTTAGTCGCCGCTTCTCCTCCTCTCCAGGTTGTCTGTCGTTCAATCTATCATCCCCCTTGCAGTCTGCCGTTAAACCTTTCTCTCTCTGTACCTGCTGTCACCCCCCTTCCTGCAAGTGTTCCCAACCATCAGCCCTCACCTTTTTCTTACCGTTATCGTGCCTGTATTCCCTCCACCTCATAGCCACCCCAATATCCTACCCATCTACTTTTGCGGCCACACAACCCAGCCCTTCTTCCCAACCGCATCCCAAAATTCATCCCATCATCCTTTCCCTGCAACCATCCTTGCTGCAACTCCCACAAAAAAGCCACCAACTTTAAGTCTCTGTCTTCCGGTTGCTACTCATTCCCCCCTTCCACCCTCCCGCCTTAACAACAACCTCCCCAGTTGTCCTCCACCACGTTCGCCTTCACCTTCGCATTCGCCCTAGTGTGTCCTTTATGTTTGCCATCTTTTATTTCCTGTTTTGAAGAGTCATTGTTGTAATCTATTTAACTTTCAACAATAAAATTTGCAATTCTATTGTTGTTTGGGTTAACTCGGGTATCATTAAGTCAAGGGGATGGATTATGAATGTAGTGCAAGTGCTATTTCCATACTTTATAGTCAACCAAATACATTTATCTTTATAAGATAGATGTTTTTTTTCTAGTTAATACCGTTGATCACATGTAAAGTGGTAACTTGTCTGGTCCTAAGAGCCTTAGGTGGTATAATTTTTGGGTTCAGAATCAGGGATCTTTAGTTGCATATTAGGTTGGATTTTCAATTTAGCTGTTGGGTAGGATTTGTTCTTTTTAACCGTGCAATCAAGGTTAGATCCCGCTTTATATAGCCAAATCAACTACCTAATTGAGAATAAGCTGTGTGTTTAACAAGAAAATGATGATTTTAGAGAGATGGGTGGGCTAAGGACTAATTATCGAGTGAGAGGCAAAGAGATGACATACAATTGTTAGTTGGAATCAAAATTGACTCTTTTGTATTGTTTTGTTGACAAATTGTATGCCAAGAGTGATGTATTTGAGGTAGATGGAGAGGTGTTTTGTAACAATATGGAAAGGGAGAATCAACTTTTTAAGTGATTCTCAATTCTTTGTATCAGATGTTAAATTAATTTTTATTTGACCGGAAATCAACTTTCCTATTGACAAGAATTGTAGTTATAGAGATACCCAACATGGAAATTATAGATTTGATGTCAGAATTAGATGGGTGATGATTTAAGATTGAATTGAGTTCCTCTTGGCCCTTTGTCAATATCATTTAATTTAGCTTGCTTACACTTGATTTGTAGTGAATATCTGTTAATGTCATGTTGTTCCTGAATTTTTTTATTTGAATTGACTATACATTTGAAAATGTCATTTTTTTGGAGGATTTGAAGTGCAACTATGCACCATAATTAACTTTCTTTATTCTTTTATTCATATGCCTGTAGATGCGCACGCTCACACACACACTCACATGTAATTAGCATATTGGGATTGTGAATGTCGCTGAACTCTTAAACATAGTGACGTCTTTTGGTGTAACGGTTGGATTGTCATCAAAAACTCCGAAGTTAAGCAGACCATTTGGCCAAAGAGGACAATATCTTGATGTGTGAAACTTCGGGCTGTTACAAGAGTTTGGGTAGCTTTCTTAAAAGAGTAAAAGTGGGGTTTTGGTTAATGAAGCTATGCATGCTTTGGTTATATCTAATCGTGTAGACAAATCATGAATTACCTGTTTTATTTGGTTTGCTTTATATGCAACCATGTTCAATTTCGTAGTTGCTTGAACCAATCTGAACTTTGGGACAGTTATATGTATCATCTTCTTATTTTAGTTTGCTGTTTTGTTTGAAAGAGCTTAAGCTGAAAATTCTTAGGGACTGACATTCTTTTTTTTATAATTTTGAAATTTCTTTGTAATTACGCTTCTTGGTATGATATTATTGTTTGAATCATTCTTAGTCTTTCTCTATTTGTTATAACCGTGATTGTGATTATTTGGGTTGTCAACTTTGTGGACTTTTTAAAGCAAAAAAAGGAAGATTTTTTTCAACTAAAGAGGTGAATTTTCTCACGCATATTTGTTTGAATATGACCATGGTATTACCACCTGTTGAGCTTGATATGATTTTTTTTTCTTGCTTTTTGAACTTATTTCTCTAACATTACTTTTTGACAGCCCGCTCCCACCTCCTTTGATGAGGTTTTCCAATGCATGTTTGATTACATTGATAGGCTTTTTGTCATGGTTCGGCCCAGGAAGCTTCTCTTTATGGCTATTGGTGAGTGTCTATTAAATATTCCTGCAACTAGCGCATGCCAACTTTTTGTGATTTATTTTTTTGGGTCATTTACATTCATACCATACAATTCTTATGTATTTAAATATCTAAAACCTAGACATTCATATTTACATGCATTCCTCTCAAATCATTTACATCACCTAAAAAATCCCATATAACAAATCCCACCATCACTATCTTTTAAAAGGGTAATTCACCTTTTCATGCATAATTTTATCACATCAAGGTATTATTAGGTAAATATCAAAACTTGGGTGTTAGATATGTACATTTATTAGAATTTGGTGCTACGTATGTAATTTTTCCTTATTGTTTGTCTGCCATATGCTATAGCTGCAGGTTTTATTTGTGGTTAATGGATACATTTTGATACTGCTCTTTTCGATCTTTTTTCCTTCATGACGATTCTGAAATTGCAATGACAGATGGTGTTGCACCGAGGGCTAAGATGAATCAGCAGCGTTCTAGACGTTTCAGAGCAGCTAAGGATGCAGCAGATGCGGTAGGTGTAAATGTTTATGCTATAATTATTTTTGTCTTCGTTTATGCTATCTATAATTATTTTTGTCTTCTCGTTTATGCTATAATTATTTTTGTCTTCGTTTATGCTATAATTATTTTTGTCTTCGTTTATGCTATAATTTTCGACTCTGCTAGAGGTCATGTCATGGAGTACATGCCCATCGATTGGGGTTAGAAATGCTAACAATAGGTGTGATTAGAGACGAATGGGGATTTTCTTGCTTGGCCACAGCTGGCATTACTTTCTATAGAACAAATTTTCATTTAGGGGCATTTACATGCTTAATACACAACTCTTAGGTATTTATATATCACACACCTACACTTTCATATTTACACACATATCACTCAAATCCTTAATATCAAATGGAAATTAGCATTATTACCACATTTTAAAATGATTTACACCTTTCATGCATAGTTTTAGTTCTATCTATGTAAATATGAAAGTTTAGGTATGATGTGTAAATGCACTATAATTATGTGCTATGCATGTAATTTTCTCTTCTATTAATTAAACACTTGGTATCCTTTTTAGGCTGTTTTTGTCTTTTGTTATAAAAACTCAAGAAATATTGTGTGTTGATAACAGCTGTCTCATTGTCCATCTTTTCCAACTTTTGTTTCTTTCAACTATGGATTTTGATAGAGAAGGAATTAGTAGCTCTTTATTTGAAACCTTATGCTTTAGAAACATAATCAATAGTTCTGTATTTGAAAGAACTTTCTGCATTTTTTCTAAATATTATTATTGTTTGGGTTGATTTAGTTATTGTAAATAGTTGTGCTATTATGTAGTTAGTTATTAGTTGAATTTGGTTACTAATTATTAGAATCTGGTTATTTGAAGCATGCATTTGATAGACGTTTTAGATATTTTTAAGAATGGGGACATGATGATGGAATAAAAAAAATAAAGAAGGCGTATGGTCTTTGCCAAAGATTAAAATGTAACAATTAAAAGTACAAAGGGTAAAAAATAAATATTGGTAAATACTCAGAGCTCTAGTTAACTTCCCCCTTTTTCTTTGTACCATGTAGGCGGCTGAAGAGGACCGACTGCGTCTGGAGTTTGAGAGGGAAGGAAGAAAGCTTCCACCGAAGAAGGAATCAGAAGTTTTTGATTCTAATGTTATTACTCCCGGGACCGAGTTTATGTCTGTTCTGTCTGTAGCACTGCAGTATTACATTCATCTGAGGCTAAACTATGACCCTGGTTGGAAGCACATAAAAGTATGTATGTAGTGAGTTAACTTTCTGTTTGTTTCGATCTTTTAGTTTTTTTTATTCGTACCCCTGAGTTTGCCCCTTAATTTTTCTTTTGATGTGATTAAATTGCATATTATTCTTCGGGGCATTTACATACAGACCACCCAATTTATATGTATTTACATATCTAACACTGAAGCTTTAGCTTTTGCATCTATACCACCTAAATCTTTCATATCACAAAAAAAAAAAAAAACTACCATTTTAACTTCTAAAAAGTGGAATACACCGCTTTAAGCATAGCTAAGGTGATATATATGTAAAAAGTGAAGTTTGGGTGTTAGATATGTAAGTACAATGGAACTGGGTGGTATGTAAGTAAAATTTATTTTTGTAACCGATTTTATTGTAGGTAATCCTTTCTGATGCAAATGTTCCCGGTGAAGGGGAACACAAAATTATGTCATACATCCGTCTTCAACGAAATTTGCCCGGTTTTGATCCAAATACTCGGCACTGCTTGTATGGTCTGGTATGATCTTTTCTAGTGGTTTTTTCTTCTTAATTTTGTTTATTTTTATGCACTTTTGGGGAAGATGTGCTTACCTGATTCATTTATTGGTGTTTAAAACTTAGTGACTGGGGAGTGTGCTTTGATATCGGTTTTTAAATTATAGTCTTTCTGCGCACATAATGTGTATTTGTGTATTAAATCTATTTTAATTTTCTGAGCGTATAGTAACTTTCTTAATCCGTTATTTCAATTTTGGCCTTCAAAAATTTATTTCTTTTTGATCATTTTTGTATAATCCTTATAATTGAGTCCTGGTTGATCATATCGGAGCATTCTAATGTCTTTTTATTTTTTCCATGAAGTGAAATTGCTTTAGTAAACATGAATTTTTTTTTGTTCTGCCTCAAAATTTCTGGAATGTTCATCCCGTGGTGGCAACCTAATCAGCAACATGAACTTTAGACAGGCAGTGATTATACACTATATATTAGGAGGACAATCACAATTTACTACGTTGCATAGAATTTTATCTAGAAAGAAAGTAATTTCAATAAATTAAAAGTTTAGCAAAGATACAATGTTCTGGTGAATGTTAGAATGGTTTTTGAATTAGAGTTATGTGAAAAGGTATGTAGAACAACTCGTGATGCGTAAAGATGAAACAACAAAAAAATGTTTTTTTTTGTTAATTTTTTGAAACTGTTTTATTTATCTCAACAGTTATGAATACTGCTTCTGGGTTTTGATAGAATGAGTGCAATGGGTTGAACAGTGATATGCATGAAACAAGCTGCATGCCTTTAGCTTGGGGAGTGGAAGTGATGGAAGGACATAGGGTTTAGGGGTGGTTTGGGATTGCTTTGATATTTTTTTTTGTTCTCACTTTTTATTATACTTTGTTTATGCTTTGATATGAAATTAAAATATCTTTTATATCTTAAAAATGAGCTGTTTTGTTTTTATCGAATTTCACAAAAATTTCTTTTGGGTTTCTAATGTGATCGAAGACTTTTGATTCATATCGCAGCCAAAAATTGCTGCATTTGTTTTCCTTCTGTATTTAAGCTCTCTGTTTAGTATTAAACTTATTCTTACTTCTTGCTTTTTTCTTTTTTCTTTGATTTGATTATTTTGTAAAAGTTTCTCATCCTGTAAGGTCTACACTTTGGTTTGCTTTTTATATAGGATGCAGATTTGATCATGTTAGCTTTGGCCACACATGAGGTGCATTTTTCAATTTTAAGAGAGGTAAGTGCTAATTTTCTGTTTTGCCTAAATAGCTTAATTATGCTTCTTTTTTATCCATTTGATTCCAAAATTTGTTTTCAGCCTTTTATTGACCAATTCACTCTTCTCCTTTTGATTGATATAGTTTTGGAGCTGGTTGTAATTTTTAGTTTTGTTTTCCTTCATCTTGGATTTTTGATCTTTCATGCATTTTTTTTTTGGATTATGCGTAAGCATATTAAACTGAAATTCTATCCCAAATTAGCAATGGGATCTTTCTGCAAATGTGGCCTTGATGTTACTTTTTTTTTATTTAGTATTTACCTGCCTAATTTCTTGGCAATATCAGATTGTCTTCACTCCTGGACAGCAAGACAAATGCTTTTTATGCGGCCAGATGGGCCATTTAGCTGCAGATTGCCAAGGACACGCTAAAAGAAAATCTGGTGAATTTGATGAGAAGGGTGATAGTGCTGTAGTTGCAAAGAAACCTTACCAGGTTTATCAGGATTGGATTTAATCGTTCATGAAGTTTGCATATGCCGTCATTTATTTACCTTATTTTTGTGACTTTGCAGTTTCTCAACATCTGGACTCTTCGAGAGTACTTGGAATTTGAATTTAGAATGCCTAATCCTCCCTTTGAGGTTGATTTTGAACGTATAGTAGATGATTTCATCTTTATGTGTTTCTTTGTTGGAAATGATTTTCTTCCCCATATGCCAACGCTGGAAATCCGTGAGGTTTGTTGTTTGTTTGAAGCCTTACTATTGTTAAGCTTGTTGCACACGTATGTATACACACACAGACACGACACACACACACACACACATGTATAGATGAAGGGCTATAGTATTAGATGATATGTTATGTAGATGTGATGTCTTCTTTCATGTGTTGGATTTTAGCTAATGCTCGACTAACAGGGTGCAATAAATTTACTTATGGCTGTTTATAAGAAGGAATTTAGGGTGATGAAGGGCTATTTGACGGATTCATGGAAGGTATGTGGATCTTTATCTCTTCTACATGTAATATAGACAATTCTGACTTGACATATCAAAGTTTATTCCGCCCTAGTAGTGACATGGATTTTTTCTTATTACTAGCCTAATTTGAGCAGAGTTGAGCATTTTATTCAGGCAGTTGGGTCTTACGAGGATAGAATTTTCCAAAAAAGAGCTCGCTTACATCAGGTATTTTTTGTATGACCATGTCGGAAGAAATTTTCTTTTTCAATCATGCATGGTTGTGTAGCTTTTTGAATTGTCGGAATTAATAAATCACTTTGGAATTATTGTGGCTGTCTATAGATTCTTGTGCCATGTTATCAGGTGGGTTGCAATTTTGAATTTGATTTTAAAACAGTGAGATTTACATTCCTAGCACACAATTCTTAGGTATTTACATATCTTACACCTAAACTGTTATATTGACATTCATAGCTCTTTGGTGCTATGCTTGAAAAAGCTGTATTTAACTTTTATAAAGTTGGAGTAGTGCTATTTTTGATGTGATATTAAAGATTTGAATGTTATGTATGTAAATATGAATGTTTAGATTTGTGATATGTAAATACATTAGAATTTTGTGCTACGTATGTAAACTCCCCTTTAAAATATTATATTTGATTTGTTGCTTTGCTGGTTTTTATTACCATGGGTGGGATAGAAATATTCATGTTCTACTTCCTACAAATTCTTATTATATTTTTCTGAACATGATCATTCTTTTTTATCAATGTGTTTTCAAGTGCAATACCTGGATTTAATTAGAGAGGCGTGGGCTATTGCTTCATGCGTTCTTTGTGAGACGAGGTGCAATTGGAGGGTCCATTGCTTTCTAGTTAAGTGCCTTGGATTGTGCTCGCACCAATGCCTTTGCTCCAGAGACAGCCTTTTTTAATATCATATTGCTAAAGTAGTTTTTTTCTTTGTTTTTTATTATGTGTGGATGTTACACGTGTGTAAAATATGGTTTAAAATGGTGTAATGATGTTATTATTTTGATCTATTTGCATCGTTTCTTTTTTTGCCTTTTGAATTTTCTTTTAATAAGTTATGAAGTAAACGATATTACACTTTAACATGTAGTGTTTATTTCTGATTATTAACTTTATGTTATTGTCTTGGTTTTTTTTAAAAAATTATCATTTTTATTTGAACTTGGGTATGCTTAAAATGTTGTGCTGTAAGCTTTATTCTTGTTATATTTTTGAATAGCATGAAAGAGACATTATTTAACTCTGTAATATGTTTTACAAATTTGCTTGTGAATACTTGATCTTATACATTAACATTCTGTATTTCTTCCTTAAGTTTTATTGTTGAGTCTAGAAGTAGTTTTCGCCTTTCAATATGCTATGATATACCTAAATGCTTGCTTTGCACAGAAGCTTTTACTTATGTTTTTTTTGATGGCTTGACACTTATTTGAAAAGGCAAACACCTCTTCCATTGTCTCTTGCCTAACTAAGCAACATCACTGGTGCCTTAGGCCTTAGTAAGTGTGAGCACAAGTTTCCACACTTGGAGTTCAAGTTAAATTTATAAAATTCTTATTAATATTTTGGAGTTGTGTTTTGACCAACCAACAGGCGAATGATATATTTAGCATAAATTATGGAGAAAATGCTTGCATATTTTCATGTATATTTTTTTGGACGATTTACATGCATGCCATTCAATTCTTATATATTTGCATATCTAACACCTAAACTTACTTTTTTACATATATGCCCAACTTACCTATGCATAAAAAGTTGTATTTGACTTTTTAAAATTGATAATATTTTTGATGTAATATGAAAGATTTGGGTGAGATAAATGTAAAAATCAAAGTTGAGGTGTGTAAATAATTGGGCGGTATGCATTTAAATGCCCCGTATTTTTTTTTCTAGAAAATTTTGGTGGGGCACTAATTCTAACAACTATTGTGGCAAGTTATGTTGGCTTCTTATGTTCCTTTTTTAAGACGGTTACTCTGCCATGACTGTTACTTTGTGGGTTAACCAGTTTGGTTTACGTATCATTGACTTATTACATTATAAATTTATGGAATAAATCTTTTTTAATGTTCAGTTGAAGTTTTATCCAGTGAGAATAGAACCCTTTGCGCTGGTAGGAAGTTTATATTACTTAATTTATTTAGGTCATCATCAGATTTGATTTGATTTCAATGATCAGTTCTATGTGATGGACATCTATGTTTGTGAGTAGAAATTGTTCACCAGTGATGTTTTGTTCAATCTAATTTCATGTGCTCTCTTATATCATTTAATTTTTTAGGCATTTACATATGTGGCACACAATTCTTATGTATTTTCATATCTCACACCTACACATATAGCGCTCAAGTCCTTAATATCACATAAAAAATAGCAAGTGAAATATACCTTTTCATGTAGGTTTAAAATACCAAAGTGCTATGTAAATATGAAAGCTTATGTTTGAGTATGTAAATACATAATAATTGTGTGCTATGTTGTAAATTTTCCTTAATTTTTTCACTTTTTTTCTCAACTTCTTTTGGCCTAGATAACATGATAAGAAGGATATATATTTACATATTTGATGTTTGCTTATTTTATTAACATCTGCTAGCGTCAAGCGGAAAGAATAAAACGCGAAAAAGTACAAGCCTTACGAGGAGATGATATAGATCCTCAACTGAATCCTGATCTTATAGTGCCCATTACTCGTTATAAGGGTTCACGTCTCGCTTCTGGCGCTTCCCCTTCCCCATTTCAACAGTTCGAGTCTTCTTATGGAACTCGCAATCCGCCGCTTACAAGAAAAGACACAGAAAATGAAAAAGCTGCTTCAGAAATGCACATTTTAAAGATCAACAAAAGAACAACACATGAGGCAGGATCTTATGTTCGAGCGCAAAAGGCTGCCCGCATTTCAGCAGAGGGTGCAACTATTGGAGGAGCAATTGTTGAGGCTGAGAAGAGTCTTGAAGCAGAAGTAAATAGATCATTTCCAATTATTGAATTTATATTTCTGTGTTTTTCCTTGGTTTTTCTGCAAAATGTTTCTTTCCTTTCCTTTTCTTTCTATGTTTTGGCGATAGTGTTTGTTGATTTTCATTGACTTCTGTTTGCTTTTGATTGATAAAAATCAGATGCTTGAAAATAAGGAAGAAATGAAAACAAAGCTGAAAGAATTGTTACGGAATAAATCTGATCTTTTCAACGCTGAAAATCCAGAGGAGGACAAGGTTTGATTTTATGGGCATATGCATTTATTGTGTTGCATCGAAATCAGATTATCTACTTGATTTGGGCTGCAATTGTCATTAAACTTCTGTACATACCTTTTCTGTGTCGGCTTTTATTTAATAATTCAGTCTGCCGAGCAACTCTTCTTTGATTCTAATTGTGTACGTATGATTTCCTGCTGTATTATAAGTTATTGGCGTTTTGATTTATGTAAATATATATATATATATATTTTCACTGCAATGTTATGTGTTTTTAGCAGACTTCAGATGCGTTTGATTGTGATTGCTCCTTGTTGTCCTTTGTGGTGTATAGTACTTTTTGTTTTGTATTTGCTTTTTGCATGTTTATTAGCTATTATTATTTGAGTTACTGCTTATAATGTTTCTATTAGAATATTAAAATATTTATTAATACTGAATTCTGTATTACTTATTTCTAGTTGCTTTTCTTTTCTTTTCTTTATTCATTTATTCTATTTTTATTTGTTTCCTTAACTAGTATATCTTGTAATGGGTATTTATACCCTTCTTTACATCAATAAGAATTATCTTGGGTTCTATTCTATATGGTATCAGAGCACGGATAAAATGGACACTGCACCCAACAGTTACAGTTTATCTCAGTCCACTAAATGCCCATTTATGCTATTATACTGTCATTTCAGTTATCCTAGTTTCCAATAGCTAAGGCAATTGTATCTGTTGATGTTTACTAATAAAAATTATTCTAATTTTAAATGTGAAACCTGTCAGTTGGCTAAACATCATTTTTTTTATCCACTCCACAATTACACACTTTACACTTCTTTATCTCTTATTCACAGTGACTTATGGGGACCATCTCGCACTCCTAGCTACAACAATAAATGGTGATTTTTTTCCTTAATTGTTGACCACACTCAGATGCCATGAGTTTATTTTTAAAAGATAAATGTTTAGCTGCGGTCACTTTCAAAAACTTGCACACATTCCTTTTGACCCAATTCAGAATTCCTATTTATGTTCTTTGGACTGACAATGATTGAAAATTTTTTAACCCTATATTAGGAGAATTCCTGGCTAGTAAGAGCATCCTCCATCATAGCTCGTGTATTGACACACCTCAACAAAATGAGGTAGCCTAGGGAAAAAAATTGACATCTCCTTGACTTTACCCGCTCTATTATGTTTCACTCTAATGTCCCAAAACGTTTCTGAAATGATGTCATTTTTACCACCACTTATTTCATAAATAGAGTTCCCTAAAAAATTTACAACTTCCGTACCCCTTTAGTCTTTTTAAGATCTTGCTTTCCTAATAATTAGGTTTTCTCTATTTTAGATCTCAAAATTTTTGGGTGTACAGTCTTTGGTTGGAACACGGCCTCAACTCGGAGTAAACTTGATCTTAGGTCGATAAAATATTTTCTTCGGATACTCTGCCACTCAAAAGAGGTATCAGTGCCTTGACCATACTACAAATAAGGTCTATGTGAGTGTTGGTGTCTCTTTTTTGAAAGTGTTCCCTATTATCCTAATTTTTCCTCCAGTGACGGAGAGCTTGATTTCTTGGAGACTGTTACTTGCTCTACTTTTGTGGATATTCCCCTCACGTCACCTAACATCGAGGATTCCTCTGTTCCTTTAGTTCTACCCATTTCTTCTACCATCATGGAGTCCTCTGTCCCTTTAGTTTCACTAACATATCTTCCCACTCTTCGTATCTACAGTCGACACACTCATTCTGATGCACTTACTTTGGAGCTCAGTAACTCTTCGTTGGACCCTGAATCCCCTCCAGAAGACATTCCCAACACTGCTCTTACTTCAAATGAGGACATTTCCTATAGTAAGGTACACAATCAAACAAACTCTCTCTATCCCACGACAAACAATATCTCTCTTCACAGATTATCACCAACCTATAGAGGATTTGCTACGGCTCTGACCAATCATCAGCTTCCATCTACTATTGAGACTGCCTTAGCAGACCCAACCTGAAAAGCTGCTGTCATAGATGAGATGAATGTTCTTCAGCCGAACTATACTTGGGACATTATTGATCTTCCTCGGGGCAAGAAAGTAGTGGGATGCCGATGAATTTTTAGCATCAAATTTAAATCTGATGGATCCTTTGAACGCAAGAAGGCGCGGTTGGTCGCTAAAGGGTAGTCACATGCCTACAAAATTGACTATGAGGAGACATTTGTTCAAAGTTGCTAAATTAGACACCATTCAGATCCCCTCTTATCCCTTGCATTGAATCTGTATTGACCCTTATTTCAGCTTGATGTTAAGAATGCATTCCTGAAAGACGATCTTATAGAAGAGATATACATGACTCTTCCTCCAGGCTTTGACTCCACTGCCTCCCAGGGGCAAGCATATAGACTGCGAAAATCTCTTTATGGATTGAAGCAATCTCCATGAGCATGGTTTGAGAAATTCACAAAGATAGTGGTAGACCATGGATTCACTCAGGCTCAATCGGATCACACTCTCTTCTTCCGACGTTCCTCTAGGGGCCAAGTAATCCTTATTGTCTATATTGACGATATTATTCTCACTGATGATTATCTACCAACATTGGAGTCTCTGAAAGACATGCTTGCTGCTTCCATTGAAATAAAGGACTTAAAATCTCTCCGGTACTTCTTAGGAAAGGAAGTTGCTCGGTCATCTCAGCTTATTGACCCGTCTTAGCGGAAATATGTGATTGACCTTTTGACATATTATAAACTTATCCTATGCAAACCAGTGACTGTCCAGATGGATCCAAATGAAAAATTTATTGAGTTTCCCAATGCAGTTCCTGTAAACAAAGCTCACCACAACGCCTTGTGGGCAACTCATCTACCTTGCCCATACACGCGCCGATATATGCCACGTAGTTGGGATGCATGATCTTTATGAGCACCACTTCCAGCTGTCCAACAGATTCTCTACTATTTAAAAGGGGCAGTGGGCTCAGGTTTGTTTTTTTTTTCGCCCACATCTTTCGTTCTATTGCGGTTTACATAGACGTGGATTGGGTTGGGCCCGTCCATGATTGGCGATCTACCACAGGGTACTGTTCATTTGTGTGGGAAACTTGGTCATGTGGAAAAGTAAAAAGCAGTATGTAATTGTTCGGAGTAGTGCAGAAACCAAATTTTGATCCATGTCCCTGGGAACTTTTGAAGCTCTCTGATTACACATCATGTTCCGCGAACTATGTATAACAGTCTTCGTTCCCCTAAAATTCTGTGATAATAAAGCTGCCATAAACATTGCTCACAACCCTGCCTAGCATGATCGCACCAAGCATGTTGAGATTGACCGTCACATCATTAATGAAAAGCTTGAGTCCGGGGAAAATTGTGTTCCGTTTGTGTCATCGAGTGCTAGCCGACAGATATTCTTACAAAGAACGTTTGTCGGCCACTGTTCAATGAGTTCAAATCCAAGTTGAACATGACTGAAATGCATGCTTCATTTTGAGGGCGAGTAATAGAATATTAAAATATTTATTAATCCAGAATTCTGTATTAATTACTGTTATTTGCTTTTATTTTCTTTCCTTTATTCCTTTATTATGTTTTTATTTGTTTCCTTAACTAGTATATCCTGTAATGGGTATTTATACTCATCTTTGCATCATTGAGAACTCACTTGGGTTCTATTCTAACAGTTTCAATTTTGATTTAGGTTAAACTTGGAGAGCCGGGTTGGAAAGCAAGGTACTATGAGGAAAAATTTTCTGCAAAATCCCCTGAAGAAGTTGAGCTTATTAAAAGAGACATTGTAAGTCTTGAATCAAATGATTTTTATCTTTGATTATTGAACTTGCTAATATTTCTCTTAGCTTAATCCTATTAAAATGTGTCGTCTGCCAGCTTCCTTTTTTCGTTTCTTTGTTTACACATTATTTGCTTGCGTACTTATTCTGAAACAGCGCAAGAATTTTTATTATTAACTGATGGTGAAGTTTATGCTGCCATTTTATGGTTACCTTGAACATTTGATACCGTGAAAATGGTTTATTCTTCATAGGTGAATATGGAGACACACACTTTAAATTTTCTTATGCTCAAATGATTTCAAGATTCTTCTCATTTCATTTGAAACTTTTCGCCCTCTCTACCATCATGTCTTCTTCATACCTTGCTTGCATAACTTATGGAAAATACATCCGTCGGTATGTTAATTGATAATTCATTATCTTTGCATTTTTTTAGTTCATGCTTGAATTTCTTTTGTTCTCGTTTTATTTTGTTCTTTTAGCAGAAATAAAGATAAAAACTTGTTTGGCAATCAAAAGTGAAAAGAAATATACCGATTTAATATGCAAAATTAAATATTTTTAATTTATGATTTTTCGATTTACATGCTATTTATCCTAGTTGAACTTCTTAAAGTCCAGGTTAATTAAACTTACCATAATAATCACTAATTGATGATTAACTTAGACTAATTAATGTTTTTATTAAGTAATATGTATTTAATTAGTCAAATTTAAATTTATTTAGCATTTAGTCGCACATCATAAAGTAAACTCTACTTAGCACTTCTAAAATTTTAATAACTTTTATTTAAATCATAATTAATTTTTATTCAATCTTACTAAATAGTTAATTAGCAGGCAATTTTTTAGCAACAGTTAAATTTGTCTATTTACAATGTTAATTCCCAACTACCTTAATTTAAAATAGAATCACTTAAATCTCAAAGAGCACAATAAAATCATGATCTTAGTTGTTTAGCTTTCATTAAGTTCTCAATAATTTGATTGTGGCATGTTGAAGTTCACGGCGACACTTGTTTTTCCTTGCTTGTGTTTAAGATATGTAAACATAGGAAATTTGGATTGTACTCTGGTTAAGTACTCAATTTTCCCATGCTTATTATACTATTTAATTTATTAATCAGCTGTATCATGTAATGATTTTGATTAGATTCCTAATCAATACTTTCTCCTTAATTAGTTTAGATAAGTTGTAAATTACAACTTAATAATCCAAAAAATTAATAACCATGCTCACGCACTACTAATTTCATTTCTTTAATTAAAACCAATCTAAATACCTCTTTAAAACTAATTATTCTGGCCATTGTATTGACCACTTAGGCAGTTTAGCATTGATTACAATAATTATATACAAATAAAATATTAATATAAACTAAATAATCTTAAACAAGCCTAAGTAATCAGTTAATTGCTAATTTTTCTGACTAATTACAAATTATTAATAATACTTGATATAATTATTGTTATTTAAATAAGAAGAAGTTAATAATGAATTACTTAAAAATACTTAAAAAATTAACCACATATCTAATAACATTAATTAATCACGATTAAATTTTTAATGATCTTAATCATATCATTGACTCTTCCCTAAGAATATAGTTAAAATCTAATTAGCTCAATTAGTCTATTTAATAGAAACGACCACTTAGGCTTCTTTCCAAACCCTGTGGTAACATCCTTGTCTGAGTTGTCATAATTTCATATAACAACCCAGTTTATTTCCAAAAAAAGAAACCATGGTAACATCCTTGTCTGAGTTCTCATAATTTCATATAACAACCCAGTTTATTTCCGAAACAAGAAACTATTGTAAATGTGGCAGCCAAACATTTTTTTTATTGAGCTTAAATACCTATATTTGAAAAAAGAAAAAAAAATCAACGAACAAAAGTGATCTTAAACATGACCTTGCTGTTTTGATTCAATTTCTTGAACAGCTGAACTGTGCTAAATTACTGCTACTATATTCTGAATAAATACACTTTATATTATTTTTATGCACTGTTTGCTTCTGCAACAGTTTCCTGCTTTATATTCCTGTAGCTTAGCTTTTTATTTCCTCAATTTGAGATTTATAGGCTGTGTGCGTGTTCTTTTTTTTCTGTTCCTTACTATTGATTGATTGTATTGTTGTAATTGTTTTCTTTCTAAACACCTAAAATTTGACAACCACTGATGAGTTTTCATCCATGAATTTGTGCATTCTTAGGTTTCTTGGATGATTCTGTTGCTTACCAGTTTTTTACTTGTAATTGAGTGGTGATAATACCCAGTTGTTATATATTAGGATCTAAATTGTTTTGAGCGCATTTGACTTTTTGTACCGTTTACGCATTTTTTTTACTTCCATGCGGTTTCTTGATTGGCTGGTCAAGGCTTCATGCTTTGCTTTAGTTAGTTCTCTTGTGATCTGTTGCTCTTACCTTTCAATGTCTGATAGTTAATTAGATTTGATTTACTGTATCATTTGTTTTTTGGTTCTCTCTTTTGAATTTTCTTTTTGAAATGTGGTATTTATATAAATCTAATGCATCAGCGCTTGCTAGTCTTTTTTTTTTATCATTTGTCATTACATTTATTATTTCTTAGAATGCCTAGAAACTTGGATTTTTTAAACTTGGCTTTTGCGGCCAGCCTAACACAGTTGAAGTTTTGCTCTGATCAGAGAGTGATTGATATTTTTTGCATCTGTCCTTTTTATGAAAATTTGGTTATTTCTGGTATTTTTGGTTGATTTGGTTAATTTTTGCTAATTTGACCTTTTCTGACATTTAATTTGGGGAAGGGGTCGATAGTCTTCAGTTATTTGGGTTATTGAGAAAAGAATCTTTAGAATTGATTAGAGTGATCTGTTAGTGTTTTCTCTTTCATCATTGAGGAATACAAATTTTATGAGAGCATTTATTACGTTTAGGGGTGCAAGCCTTATTGGGTAAAGTTGGGTAATATTTGCCATCATTATGATCAACACATACTTTATCCATTCAAGGGAGGGCCCATGCCCTCCAAAAAAAAATTAAATTTTGTTTTCTTACATAAAAAATTATTTTAAATTTAAATAAATAATAATTTTTAAAACATTTATTCTTAAATTGTTAACTTCAAAACTTGAAATAAAAATATGTTTTAAGCTTTATTAACACAATAGTTTTTATCTTAAAAGGTAATATTTATTTAATTCAAATAAAATTTAACATTTAATTTAAAAAAAAACATTCATTTGAATCAAATTAATTCTGAATATTTATTTTTCAAAATTTGAAACTATTTAAGCAAAAGTTGGAGCACTTTTTTTCGAATGGATTAAAAGTTCAATGTTCCACCATGATAAATTTCAAATTATTTTGTGATGCACAGTTTTTAAAATCTATATTATATTTTGGAGGATTTACATACATTATACATAATTCTTTTATATTTATATATTTAATAATTAAACTTTGATGTTTTCTTACATAACACTATAATGTTACTTAAATTGAGTAAGAATTATAGATGATACTAATAATGAAGTAATCATTCAACATATTTATAATATAAAGATTAAGTGTTACAAATTTTTATTTTTTTAATCGTCGTGTATTTATCTTTTTTACATCAAGTTCTAACAAAAAAAATTAACGCAGATCCCTAGACTGGATGAAAACGGTTGAGAACTTTTTTGAAAAAATCAACTTGTGCCCTTGCTGGAAAAAATATCTGGCTCTGCAACTGATCATCAGTATGTGTTTATTGGATAGAATCGATTTACATCTGAACTTTTGTGAAATCTTTGAGCTTGATTGACTCAAATTTAGGTTTTCTTTTAGGATGTTACTATCATTCTGATCTGAAAGGAAGTTTAGTTTGTTTAATCACGGAGGAAGTGATTGTTAGCTCAAGGTGTGACTCCTTGGAAATTGAGTATTGGGCTGGCTGTGAGTTTGACTTTGGACTTTGGATTTTATGTTTAGTAGATCAACATGATTTTACTATAGATTTTTTATTTGGTTTGATTGGTTTAGCAATTTAAGTTAGGAGTGTAATCACTCGGTATTTGAATTTATGTTCCACTTTTAGTGGTAGAACATTTGGACTACATTTGATTGGGGAGATTTTTGAACTGGCAATTTAAGTTAGGACGGTGATCAGTTGGGATTTGAATTTAGGCTCCATTTTTAGTGTTAAAATATTTGGGCTACATTTGATTGGGGAGATGTTAAAACTCAATTTGAATGGTTTAAAGAGGGTTGTTACGTTATGATTTCACATGCTTGTTTTGTGGGAAATATTATGACTAAGGGACTTTGATTGTGTCGAACTCATCAACATTGAAACGAGAGATCAATTAGAGTAGACCTCATTTTATAGGATTTTTATATATTTTTATCTATGGTGTTGCTTTTAATAGGGAATTAGTTTTACCTAAAATTGTTTCATACAGGGTTTTTAAAAAGCATGATTTGAGTGCGCTCCACATGCAAAGAAAAACGATGTGCGTGACACTTGGTATAAGCGAATGAATCACTCACAATGCAAGTGAAGCGCACTTCGAAGCACTAAAGTGAGTCGGTTCGGTTCACTCAAAAGGAAATAAATCTTCGGTTTCAATCTGGTGTTCAAAGGAGCGCAAAAAGCAGTGTGCTTGAAAGTTTGAGTGGTGCAAGGGAGCCGAGCATCTTCTTCAACTTCAACCTATTGTTTGAAGTGCACTTCAAATACTCGGTCTTCCATCAACTACAGGAGGGCTTTGACATTGGCTAAGGTTTCAATTATAGGAGGCCTTCGACTTTGGCTAGGGTTCAACGACAAGAGGTAGACGCCGAGAGCACTTAGGGTTTGAGAGGGTTGCCTCGAAGGGAGACATCGAGCTTGCTGAAACTGAGGGGGAGAGCCTTCGAGCTCTTCGCGATCGAACCTGCAAGCAGTAGTCTTTTATGATCCTTGCGTGCGTGCGTGCGTAAGAAATATAAATAAAATAGGTTTGGTTAATAAAAGCGAAGTATCTTGGAGGTGTTAGATTATTGGATATTTTTGTTTTTGAATCAGGATTAGTTTCTCCTAAGGATAATTTAGCCTCATTTATTGGAGCTCGGATTTTATGTATTTTGGGGATGTTAGTTTTTTCTCTTCCCAGAGGGATGGTGATGCAGTCCTAGAAGATGTGGATATTCTTTGTTTGGCTATGGTTGTTATCTGCGAAGCTCTTAAATTTGTTGTGGGAATTAGTTAAGCCTTGGCTTAAAGGATTATTTTTCCCTTGAATGGTTGAGCAAGAGTTTTAGTTGTTTGGCCTCAAGGGCCTTCTCCTCAATAGCGTGGTTATTTTGATCTCATTCCAAACATCTTGGAGGAAGTGGATTTTTGCATCTTTTGGGGCTTTTGACTTATGAATGGAGAGATTGGATTAAACTTTGTCCTAGATGGATAATTAAACCACACTTCGAAAGAGTTAGGAATTTGGGTTTTTTAGTGGTTATATTTTCTCCTTATCCCAGAGAAGAGATAGTTTAACCTTACTTTGAAGGATCAAGGTTTGGAAATTCTGGGTTTGTTTCATTGTAGATGCATCTATTTTTAATGTCTTATGGTGACTTAGGGATTGAATTTCTTTATTTTTACAATTTGAGTGAAAAATGGGGGCGTGAACATTTTGTTAATTTTTAAAATGTTCAAAATTTGGCAAGTTAATATTTTTGATTAAGAACTTTATTATAGGTAGTTTGAGGTAAGGCAGACTCCCCACTAAATTTTGGATTTTTCAATTTAAAACATAATTTTTTTGAAGTTGAAAATTTGTCCTAAAAGATGCAAACGGTGTGATTAATAAGCCCGTTTGGGGCGGCTTATTTGGTGAGGTCTTGTCTGTTTGGGTAAATTACGTTTTGGTAGCTTATGCGTTTTCAAAACGCTGAAAATAACGTTTTCACACCTATAGGTGTGGTGACAGCTTTTTGGCAGTTGTCTGGTTTTTTCAAAAAAAATAAAAATTTGTAATAGCCACCACACCTAGTTTATCAGCAGATTATTCAATAAGCTGCAGCTGCCCCAAACTGAGCCTGAATTATTAGAGTTTTTTACTTTGAAATTTTTTCGCGTGTAGGCTCAATGAATGTAGTTCACCAAAAAAATTTCAAAAGATTATTGATTTCTTGCAATTTATTAGAATAAAAACTAGTACAAATTTTTTCAATTTTGAATATTTTTTCTTGGAAAATTAAAATATTGAAATTGATTTATTTTGGTTCATAATTTCAAAAGAGGTAATCGTCTAAGAATGGTTTGGCAAATTTCATGAATTTTTCATGCTTTATATAAATTTAGTTGAATTTTCATTTGTTGTTCCCTTGATACCAAATTCAATTGGGTTTGGCATGAGATTTTGGACTTCAGATTGATTCTGGATATAGAGCATTCTTAGGTAAAAGAAAGTCATATGAGTGCTTGAAAATGAGAGAATGTGGCGTTTGATTTAAATTGTTTTGCCATTCTTTTGCTGATGATTTTTGCTGTAATTGGTGAGTTTTTACCCATTTATCTGTAATTTGATTTTATAGTGATTTCTTTTATGGATTGCTCATTGAGAAGGCTTTATCCCTTCTTTCATAGGGAGAGAAACTCCCTCCAAAGCAGTGTGAGAATAAAAACATCCCAAGTTCTCTGTTTATTTCGTGAAGGCCTATTAAGGTGGGTTTTTCAATTTAAAATTCTTGTTCATTATAAAGGCCTATCCTTTAATGAAGACCTCCTAAGCAGAATCCTTAATGGCACGATTTTAGGAATTTACATGTTCCTTTTGAGGGAGTATTGGTGATTCACTAAAAGTTAGAAGCAGCTCGTTAATCTTCTCAATTTTCAGTTATATTTATTACATTTTGCATATTATGACAAACTTAGGACCTAGACTTGATTGGGGTTGACATTAGGCGAATCTGTGCTACAGTAGATTTTTTTGATCTTCTAAGCTGAGGGTGCAGGGAAATGGCCTCGGACTCACCATGAGATTTCCCTTGATCACTGCATCTCATAGTGGTCGTTTGGATATCAGTATGAGTTAGATCCAATCCTGTCCTAATCGGTTCTACTTGGAGGCTTTTTAAAGGGCAACAATGTAGAATGATGATGAACAAAATAGCATTAAAAGATCTAATGTGTTAATACCACTGGATTTAGGTACCATGTACTTAGTGCAAATTAAGAACCTCTCAATTGAAGGAAGGTCTGCGTTTTGAGTAATATTTTTGTTTTTATTATTGGTACAGTATCCTCTAGGCTATTGATCCTGGGAGATTTGATGTCAGCAGATGACCCTCTTCACTGGGAGTTATTGAAAAAATAAACTTGAAATAATTGATTTTTTTTCTTGCATTGATGTCAATACAAATTTCACTCTTATTTGAGATTTGCTGATTTACCCCTTACAAGTAGGTCTATGAAACCACATATAGTATTATTATTATTATTACATTAGTAGAGCTTGCTGCATTTGAAATGTTACTTTCTTATTTCTGTATTAGGAGTAACTTGCTACATAAAAATGTGGCCATCAAGCCAAAGCCAAAGCAAATTTTACTTTTCTAGGGGAAACAAGCAATCTGGGCCATTCTAAGTGAGCGGAAGATGTCATTTTTCTGTCAAAAGTATATTAGTTTAATTGGATAACATTTTTTCAATTCATCTTTTATAATAAGATGAGCTTAGAACTTTGCAATTTGCCAGTGCTAATTGCATTCTAGTTTGAACACAAGTCTAGCTCACTTCACTTCTATTCCATTTTCCTTCTTGTTCCTTGGAGGATTTTTTTTATTGTTTTTTTAAATTTTTAAATGAGCATGAAATAGCTTCTCAGGAGGTTGCATGCGTAACCATAATGCTTTTTCTATTATTAGTATTCGGCTTTTGGTTCTACATTATCTGGAAGTCTATGTATTTGTTCCAGTTTAACCTTTAGTTTTAATTATTTTATATGCAATAATTTCGATATTTTGGATTTTTTTTCTAATTCATTAGGTTTTACGGTACACGGAAGGATTGTGTTGGGTGATGCATTATTATTACGAAGGTGTTTGCTCATGGCAATGGTATGCAAAAAATTCATTACTTTCATCACAATATCTCTTGCACTTTTTTCCTGTTATAGAGTTATGTTTTCTTGATTAGAATTTTTACTTGAAAAGAATGGAACCATTTTAAGTACAGTTTGATATGTATTTTTTTGATTTAATTCATTATAATGTGGCTTCACTTGGTGAGAGTTTTTCTGTTGTCTATTATTCTTCTCATTTTTATGGATATTGTTTACGCTATACACTGACTTTCTATGCTGGTGAATGGTTATTGAATTGCCATAAATTTTGCTGCTCAGCTTCTCAATTTATGACTTGGCATATTAGAAATGGAGTTTTTCCCCCTGCAGGCGCGAATTAGATGTAATTTTAACGAATTAAATCTCTAAATGATCCGCTGATTAGTCAGGTGTGGCCAGTTTAGTCTCAAGAGTTTTTTAGTTCACAAATTTGATTTCCCCGACTATTGCAAATTGATCCAAAATGATATCTCATGTAGAAGAAAAAAAAATGATCACAATTTAGTCCCTCAAATATATAAGTTGATCTCAATTTAGTCCCTGAGGAATCAATTGAGATTAATTTCTTAATAGTAAATTGAAATAATGAAAAACTATGGCATCAAATTGGTTATATCTGAATTTTCGAGGGACCATTTTGGTATTTGACCCTAATTTTAACCTGTTTTTTTAAAGGGCATGCTTATCACCGTTTTTAATTATTATTTGGAAGTCATTGAATCATGTTTGTATATTGAACTCCACACCTTTTTTAAAAAAAATAAGAATGCATGTGTATAAAGCACACAAATTAAAATCTAAGATACATTTTTGAAATATTTATAATATTTTCAAGTTATATAGTAATTTTATTTCATATTTTTATTAAACTAAGAAATTTATTTTAAAACTTGAACCTTAGCACGCGAGTGCACGCACACACACAACTATATAAATATATATATATATATCTGCGCGAGCGTTCTTGTTTGGTGTATATGTGCATGCATTAGTGCTTGTTTTTATTGTTTTCAAGACAAATAATGTAATTTGTTTGCTTGATGAAATAAAGTATGAAGGTAATAATTAAAATCTTAGTTTTAAATGAATAGATGTGAAAAATGAATGTCATCGATTATGTGATACAACAACAACAACAACAACAACAAAACCACAACAACAAAACCTTAATCCTATATTACGTGGGGTCTGCTAGATGAATCCTTTTTCTCCATTGCGTCCTATTTTTTTGTATGATTTGTATATTTTTTTTATTCAAATGACATCATGTCTTGAACACGTCTAGACGCTTTAAATTATCAAGGTAGGAATAGATGATTAGACTGAGTTTAAATTACAAACATTAACTCTAAGTTCATTATCATAATTAATGTTTGTAAATTTTTTTAAAATATCGACATTTAGTTCCACGAATCAGTCGCTAATCTTTAAAGTTTATTTTTAATCAAAGATATGACAATTCTAAAAAAAATATATCAAATTATTAATTAAATAAAAATATGAGTTATCAGTTTAACATGTTAGGTTAATTACAATTCTAAATCATAATAATTAGAGAAAAATAACATGCATGTTATTCATTAGAGAAAAGTAACATGCATGTTATTCATTATTTTAAACGATTAAGAAAATCATAAATTATATTAACATAACATTCATTTTGTTTATATATATATATGATATGATATACGGTTTCGAATGGTGGACGAGAGTTCTGCTAGGGTTTTGAATGGCGATTTCCGTCGTAATTGATTGTATCGCTCGAAAGACACCCCGTCTCTATCGTAGACTTTCCGCTTCCGCTCGCGTCCTTCTTCAACGCCGGCGGTTCGTCTGCGTTTCTCAGTTTCGACGACGACGCGTTCACATCTGCGCCTTCGATTTCGATGACGATGTCTACCTGGTCCAGCCGTTCGCGTCTGCACAGTTTCCCTGCCCGACAGCTTCGGTTCGGGTTTCTATTTGATGGCGACGTGTTCGCGTCTGCTCGAACCTGTTTCCCGTTCGTCGGCGACAGTCGGCAAGCTGCGCCAGCTGTAATGGCCTCATGGCTTTCCTACGCTGCCGCCCTCGCTAGCGATAATCTCTCCAAACTCTCTGATGATACATTGGTTCACAAATGCAGCTCCCTTTTCCACTTTGCAGATAGTCCGATGTTCTCGCAGATGTATCATGATTCTGTTGCAGGACATGAAGATTGCAATTTCATAAAAAAAGTAGAGAAAAAGACTGACAAACCAACACTATTCTTTTCTGACGCTGAAATTTCAACTTGTGCAGGAAAATATAAATTTTTTACTAGTTAGAAAGTTCCATTTAGGTCGCCCTAAGATGAAGATTATCAGGAAGGTTTTTGAAGATTTTCAAACTAGTTGGGGCTTGACAGGTGGATCTTTTCGACGGAAGACATGTTATGATACAGCTGACCATAAAAGAAGATTACTCAAGGATTTTCTCAAAAAAATTCATCACAATCGAGGGAAATCATGTGGAAATTGCTCATATGAACCCCTGATTTTGATCCCATTCAAGAACCCTCAATTGCGCCTATCTGGTTCTCATTACCTGAACTCAAGCTTCAATTCTTTGACCTACGTATCTTATATGCAATTGAGATTATCCTTGAAAAACTTTTGCAGGTAGACACACCTATAGTTCATTTCTCAAGACCCTTTATTGTAAGCATTTTGATTGAAATGGATATTACACTACCAGATGTAGAAGAAGTATGACTTGACTCTGCTCACAATGGTTATTGACAAAAAGTCATTATGGAATAAAAACCTTACTACTGCAAGCACTGCAAGATGTTTGGACACCCGTAAGAGAACTGTTTTAGATTGCACCCATAGTTGAGAGCCAATAGTTAAAAGCAGGAACATGTTGTTAGTGCACCGCACGTGCCTGAACGCGCTCCCAGCAAACCTGATGACAGCCAACCTGAGGAGGAAATTACCACAAGACAGGAAATGGTTTCTGCCCCTGGGAACCCTTCTCCTGACCATACTATTAGGGATAATGTTCGGATCGAAAGTCAGGATAGCCTCGCAACTCCTATTCAGAAAGCATCAGGTGCAGATGTGACGATTCACACTTCACATACACTGGAACTTATCGCTGTGACAACGACTGTCTTTCCTTCTACTTCGGTTCTAATATCTAATCAGATCGATGATCACATGAGCCAGTCTTCAGATAAAGAATGACAGGTTTGCACTTCTCGGCTGAAGAGGGCTCGGGCACACTCCAACTTGGAAACTTAATGGATAATATTTTTGTTACTCCTGACAATGACACGACACTTCAAAGTTTGTTATCTGACTCCGCTCCTAAAACTAGAGGAAGAGGCTGGACAATTCAGAAAGCAACCGGTGCAAAGGTGACAATTCACACTTCACATATACTAAAACCTATCGCTATAGTAATGACTGTCTTTCCTTCTATTGTTATTCTAATATATAATTAGACCGAGGATCACATGAGCCAGTCTTCAGATGAAGAATGACAGGTTTACACTTCTCGGCAGAAGAAGAAGGCTGGGGGCACACTCCAACTTGGAAACTTAATGGATAATACTTTGGTTACTCCTGGTAATGACACAGACACTTCAAAGTTTGTTATCTGGCTCCACTCCTAAAACTAGAGGAAGAGGCAGGACTAAATTGGCTCATCCCTACCTGCATGTTTTAAATTTTTTGAGTCTATCTGTATCTTTTTGTTGGGGTAGTACTGTACTTGGTATCGTATGGGTAGGGTGTTTCTATTGGGCCCTCTCATACAACCCTTATGTATCTTTTCTATTTCAATAAAATCAGCATTTGGATTTTTCATATATATATATATATACATACATCTATTTTAAAAAGTATCATCTATACATAATATAAATCACTTTTGACATATACATTTTTAGTAGGCATATCAAAGTTTATGAAAAGTTCACTATTGTCTAAGGTGAAATGTATCAATTCACCTTCGATCAATATATCCCTTGTCGATATAGGAGGGTGTTGGTCTTATTTTACTATTGTTTGAGCTAGAAGGTAATCCATCAATGCAAGGGCATATTAGTGTCTTTAGTTAATATTATAAGAAGATGAACTTGATCTATCATCATGCATATGCAATTACTCTTCTATGCATCATTTTATATTTTTCTTTTAGCGTATTATATTTTTATGAGGAAATGATGTATCGTTTAGAGTAAACCTTCTTGAAATAATATGAAGACATTTCAATTGAAACAACAACATATCAATTATGAGAACGTTAAATTATTAGACACTATCTGAAAAATGTTCTTATTATAAAGCATTATATCACCATATGTGTAAATTAAATTATAAATATATTTATCTAGTGCAACTGAGTTAGAAATAAAGGAAATGTACCTGAACTTTAATAGATTTGAATTTTATCTTTTTTACTCCTCGAGCTTCCTCTCCTTAAATTTTATACATACAGTAATGGTGAAAACATTCAGATTAATTAATTTATACCTTTGTTTTATTACAATTTAATCATATTATTTAATTATTTTTTTATTGATCTTATTTTTTGATTTTAACATATTATTTTAGAAAAAAGAGAAGAAAGGTCCCTCAACTATTTGCATGCAACAAAATGGTCCCATACTATATAATATAACACTATTTAAATAAAGACTTAAATGTACATAGACTCTTTAATCTTTAAATGGGGATTAAAGCATTTCCGTCAAATGATCATTTTGGTTTTTATTTAAATATCATGGGGACTAAATTGTCCTTTTACGTAGTCTGAAACGATTTTAGGTTCATCTAAATGGTGGGGAATCATTTTGACTTTTTTTATATTATTTTAATTAGCTTATTAACCTTACAAATCTTTTGTCAAATATCAAGAACTTAAGCATTACTTATTTGGAAGATTTACATACATACGACTTAAGTTCCATGTATTTACATATCTAACACCTACAATTTTTACATATATATGCCACCTTAGCTATGTATAAAAAAAGGTGTGTTTCACTTTTTGAAAGTTATACTAGTGGTATTTTTGATGTCATAGAAAAATTTTTAGGTGGTATAAATGTGAAGACTAAAGTTTAGGTGTTTCATATGTAAATGCATGGGAATTGGGTGGTATATATAGATGTCCCTTAATTTTTTTTTATTTACTTTGCTCTATTTATGTAATATGAGTCACATTTAGTTAATTTCTGCTATATTTGTAGTTCATAAATCATAATTTATATTTGCTAATCATTAATTCAATGTTTGATAAATTACTACAACTATTTTCTTAAATTTTTATTAATTATAAATATCTTTAAATATCATCAATTTCTCTCGCTTTGTCCATATATATATATATATATATATATATATATATATATATATATATATATATATAGTTATACATATATGTGTATATATAGTTATACATATATGTGTATTTATATGTATATGTATATTTTTGTATGTACTGTTCTTTATTTCTATCATTTAATTAACTAAATCAATCGCTCAACAACAATAACAAAGTCTTAATCCCACTACGTGGGGTCGGCTACATCAGTCCTTTTTCTCCATTGCGTCCTATTTAGTGTCATATTTTCATCTAGTTCTAATAAATTAAGATCATTTTTTAGTATTTGATTTATAACTAAATCAATCCTTATAGTATTTAATTTATAATTTTAATGATAACATGATTTTATGATTATACCTTCAACTTCTCAATATCAAATGTACTTATAACACTTTGTTTCTGACTTCTTAAAATGCCTCAAATATTTTTTACTTCATATTTTATTTCAATTCATTCCCATTTCTCTATTAGGCCTTTTATTGATCTACATATTAAAAATTTGGTGAAAATTTAACTTGATGAATGTTTGAACAGAAGACCTATCCTTGAGGCTAGTTCTTGTCTTGTGCTCGCACATGATTAGTCGAGTCCACACACGATTGTGCCATTGAATTGAGCTGCTTGGTCCTGCTTAACTTGCTCCCCCCTCCCCCTCCCCCCCTCCTCTCTCATTCACTATGTATCGTTCCCCCACCTCTCTCTATTTAATCAACTACACACACCTTCCATCACCCTTCTTTTTTAGTTTGCTCGCACGACCACCTCGCTCTTATCTCCCATCTTATTTGGCAGAACCAACTAATTTTTTCTTTGTTTCTTTTTCTTAAATGAGCCTTTACACATGAAATTTTAATGTATTTTCTTGTATAAAATAGAAGTATATTTACCTGAAAGTTAGTTTATATCATCTTGTTGAATTCGTTTGAACACTTTAATTATAATTATTTTTTTGTCGGGCTAGTCTACTATGGAAGGCCGGGTAAGTTTTCTATGAAAGTTGTATATCTATTGAGAGGTTTGATGAAGAAGCACAAGAGGAGTAACAATGATATACATATGATTTTTATTGATTTAGAAGAAGCTTACTATAATGTTTCAAGAGAAGTGCTTTGGAGGGTTTTAGAAAAGGAAGGCTTTGATATGGTTTATATTCAGGTACTTAAAGATATATGTACTAGAACGGTTACTTGTGTTCGAACAGTAGGAGGATTGACCAAGTATTTTGCTATTTTAGTTGGATTACATTTGGAATCGGCTTTAAGCCCATATCTTTTAGCTTTAGTTATGAATCACTTACTGGATATTTACAGGAGGATGTACCATTGTGTATGCTTTTCTTTGATGATATCCTTTTTGTGGATAAGACTATAGAAAAAGTTCAGGAAAAAAACTTGAATTATGGAGGTCTGCATTGGAGTCTAAAAGCTTTCGTTTAAGTAAATCTAAGACTGAATACATGGAATGTAATTTTTAGTAGTGGTTGCTCCAGCGACGGAGTTGTAACTATGGGCAATCAAATTATTAAAAAATGTGAACATTTTAGTTATATCGGGTTTATTGTTCAAAGTGATAGTGATATAGATAGGGATGTTAGTAGTAGAATTCAGGTTGGTTGGTTGAAGTGGAGGAATGCAACAGACTTATTGTGTGCTGGAAAAGTGCCACTTATAGACTTGAAGGAAAAAAATTATAAGATTGGTGGTGAGTCCTATAATGTTATATGGAGCAAAATGTTTGCTTTTAAAAGAGAAGCATAAAATAAAGTGTTATTGAAATGATAATGCTTAGGTGGATGAATGACTTGACACTTGATGACAAAATGCAAAACGAATTTATCCGTGAAAGGGTTGGTGTTGCTCCAGTGGCGGACAAAATTAGAGAGTTGTCTTAGATGGTTTGGTCACATTAAACGTCCACCATATGATGATCCAGTTAGGAGAATATATGTTTTAGATGTGACTTATGTTAAGAAATGCAGAGGTAAATCTAAAAAGACTTGGGCATATTGTATAAAAATGATCTTAATCTATTAGAATTAAATGAAAATATGACACTAAATAGGTCACAATGGAGAAAAAGGATTCATGTGGCCGACCACACTTAGTGGGATAAAACTTTGTTGTTGTTGTAATGGATTCATGTTTTTTTTTGAATTACTTGTCTATGTCGAGTAATATAACTAGAAAGAAGAAATTGTTAATTAGGTACAAAAGTGAGCTTTTGTGCTAATTTTTATTGCGTTTAACATGTAACTTTTGATACCGGAGAAGTGGGTTGAAGAGAATTCAACAAGAACAACCAAGAAAGCAAATCGAATGACATGTATTAATCAAATAAAGGATACAAGATGCTAGTGTTTCTTACTCTCTGCACCGATGGAGATACATAAATCACCACTCGAAGGATTGATGAAGAAAGGAGACCCGAGATGTCATGACCAACAACAGATGGATAGAGTTGCCACTATCCTTGTATATACAAACTCATACTCATCTGGGAACCACAAAGGGAGCACAAACCCTCACAAAAATAAAATGAACATCCATAATACTGTAAAAGACTACATCTTTATATTCAACAAAGGATCTAAACCTAATAAAAAACAAACAGACAAAAATACCCTTGCAATTATTAGGAGTGTGTAACAACCTTGGCCCTAGAGAGATGGTCGATTGATCCTCCCGCACTTAGACTGAGTTAGTTTGGGGTTTCCTCCCCGCCCCACATCAATCTACCGGGGTTGGTAGAGCTTCGATCTCATATGTTGAAGTTTTGACTTCTCATAATAAGGTGTTAGATCAACCACGTTGAAGGTGACAGAGCTGCTATAACGTCCCGGGATTAGAGGGCTTCAACTCGTGACACTTTGTCTCCTCGGTGGCATAGCTAGGGCTTAGGTTTTGGAGTTGAAAGAGGATGTATGAGATGTATTTAAGGTGCAAAAATTTTATTTAGATTTGCTGATTTTGAAAATAAGCAGGGAGGAATTAGGGTTAGGTGGAGATTTGGCTATGGTTTGGTGTGTTTACGTTTGGAATGTGAAAGAGATTGTATGTGGCTGATTTAATGTTTGCTGATTTTAAAAATCAGCAAGGGAGAATTGGGGCTAAATCAAGAATTGGTTATATTTTGGTGGGTTTAGGCTTGGGTGGATTTTGGTATCTCTAGGATGGAGTTGGGGTTAGGCTAGTTCTGTAGCAATTGATACTGGAGAAGGGGGTTGGTGAAAACTCAACAAGCACAGTCAAGAAGGCAATTTGAGACAGGAAAAAAAAATACCAGAATAAAGACGAAATGCACTAATCAAATAAAATATACAAGATAAAAGAGTTTTTAACTCTCACAACCGATTGAGATATATAAATCACCACCTGAAAGATTGACAAAGGAAGGAGAATGATTTTTTACTACATTAGATTTTTGTATTGGTGGTTTGGGTTATAAGAAATGGCATGTTTTCTCATTTGGTTGGTTTGAATTTTAAAACCAACAAATTGTAGTTTCTTTTTCCGTAATTCCTAGGAAATTAAGTTCTCATGTCAAGGAGTGTAGAAAAGGCTCACAATTAGGAGGTTTTGGACTCTACATAGGTTATAGTTTATTTATATCTTTTTTTTTTTATAGATTTGTGTCCATTTGGTTGAACTAAGACGAGATTGTTTGCCAAAAAAATGGGCATTCGTGTTTGCATTAATGGGAACTAAAGGTTCTTAAAAAAGATTTATTTTTTTTATTTTTTTTATTTTTTATACGGTTCTTAAAAAAGTTTCCTTTGAAGTGAACTGTTTTGTTATTTAGTTTATTTTTTTTGGTTCACCTTCTCTTTTGTCTTAACTTCTATTGGGTCCTTCGCTTTTACCTTTTCAGGTTCTACCCCTACCACTATGCACCGTTTGCCTCTGATATCAAGGGTCTGGGTCAACTGAATATAGAATTCAAACTTGGCTCTCCTTTCAAGCCATTCAGTCAGCTAATGGGAGTGTTTCCAGCTGCAAGGTACACTTTAATAATTAACCACGATCCCAAAATTTTTGCAAAACTAAATTTTGGCTTTTTGCAGTGCCCATGCTTTACCATTTCATTACAGGCGATTGATGAGTGATCCAAACTCACCCATTATTGATTTCTATCCCACAGGTTTTTGTTTTTATTGTTTTTTTTAATTTTTTTGTTTCATAAGTTCTTTTTCTCTAATCTTTTACTTCCAAATAAGATTGAACTTTTTCGCTATGACTTCTATCTTTATAGATTTTGAGGTTGACATGAATGGAAAGAGATATTCTTGGCAGGTCTGTTAATTTTAAATTTTGTTTATGCTTATTTGAAGAGTAGTTGAATTGAATCCTCGATATATATATATATATATATATATATATATATATATTTTAACTTGGTGTTCTTTGTTGAAGGGTGTTGCTAAGCTTCCTTTTATAGAGGAAGATCGCTTGCTTGCTGAAATTAAGAATGTACAACATACTTTGACGGTATATAACTGGACATTGTATCATTGGCCAGCTAAAAAAATGCCCTTTTTGTGACAAATCTTAATTTGCTTCCATACAGAAGGAAGAAATTCGGCGGAATAGTGTGATGTTTGAAATGCTTTTTGTTAATGTGTCACATCCTCTCTCTCCATATATGTTCTCTCTTAGCAATCAACATGGACAATTGTCAGAAAAAGAAAAAGCTGAAATAAAAGAAAAAATTGATCCTGTTGCCAGGCATGTATTATGATGCACAATATACTCAATTTATGAGCTTTTTCTCCTGTTGATTTTCATTAGCCAGTTGTTTTAACAAATATATGCTTTTGTCCGCCTTTTGCAATTCTGGCATCTTCACGGGATGGTATCTTTACAAATTAGGAATATTTACTTGCATACCAATCAATTCCTTAGTATATTACATCTAACACCTAAACTTTAATTGTTACGGACATACCACTTTACCTTTGCATTGAAAAGGTGTATTTCACTTTTTGAAAGTTGAAATGGTTATATTTTTGATCTTATATGAAAGATTCGAGTGGTATTAATGTAATAAAGCAAACCTTAGATGTTAGATATGTGAATACATAGGAATTGGGTGGTGTGTATGTAAATGCCGCTATAAATTATGGATGTATGATAATATTAACTTTTGAAAGATTAAATAAATCTTTTTGGTGGGATTTAAACGCTCACTAGTTTCTGACGTCTTGTGCATTTTCCTTGTAAAATTTGATTGAAGTATGAATTTGTGGTGTAATCAAACTAAAAGTCCATCATTAATGTGACTGTTGTCTTAAATAAAGTATGTGGATTGTGATTGATAGTGATAGAGTACTTGGGCTTAGTTTTCAACAATGTGATGAGTCCATTCTGTAACTAAAATTATGGAGAAATGTCATTAGGTTTGATTTTTTTGTTTTTTGTTTTTTTGTTGTGTACGTTAAATGAGAAGAACACTACATTTATGTCTTTGTTTTTTCTTTAGTCTCGATAATTTCCAACCGAAATATTATTGTTAGATTTTTATGCTTTCTTTGGATGTATTAATCTTCATTAGTTATTTATGTTTAGGAACCGACTAACTTATTTGATGCAAGGTGTCAATTAATTCATGAAAAGGTTGCATTTTATTCATTTTGTACTTGTGCTTCAGACGTCTCTCTTGAACAAGTTATCTGTATTCCGAAGGATATTACGGAATGCTGACTTCTGAACTAAAAAACTGAAATAGATACATTGCTATTCTTAGTTGTATGGATTTTGAAAATGAAAATAAAATAATTGGAAAATGTTACTCACAATACATGCCATTGTGGCGGCATGCTGATGCCAGGCATTATATTTCCATATATTTTTTCTTGATTATGAGAGAGAAAACTAAATGGCGATCACGAATTTCATCTCTTGAAACCTACTAATAGAAGCTTTTTTTTTGTACTTGGATTAAGGATTTTACATGTGGTTGATGAACTATATGTTAAATAAACTTCTCCATTATTTAGATGTGAATTCTAGTATCATATTTTAATGTAAATACGTGTAAACAGGAAAATAAAAGAAAGTTTGTAGATTTACATCAATACCACTCAATTTTCATGTATTTACATATCTAACACCCAAAGTTGAATTTTTACATAAATACCACCTTACCTATAAAATGCTGTATATCACTTTTTAAAAGTCAAAATGGTGGTATATTTTATTTGATGTGGAACATTTGGGTGGTGTAAATGTAAAAAGCAATGTTTAGGTGTTAGAGAAGTAAATATATAGGAATTGGGTGGCATGTATGTAAGTCCCCATGCCCCAACAAAGTTTCCACTACAACATACTTAGGTATGAGCAGCACTTCCATTTTTTTTGGTAATTGTTTCTCTCATACATGTGCATTTTTTAGCAGAATTATGTATGAATATTGTGAAATTTAGATAATAGAGCAGCATAATTCTTTGATAGAAAAGAGGTGTATAAATATACATTACAAAGGCCACATAAAAGGAAAAACTTAATTCAGAAATACATAGATATGGAAATGAAGGAAAATAAATAAAGCAAATAAGCTGAATAAAGAAAGTAAATAAAGCTAATAATTCTAATAAACTCTCTCAAGTTGAAGCATAGATATCCATTATGTTAAACTTGGATTTGAAATCGTCAAACAACGACCGAGGAAGATTTTTGGCGAGGATATCTGTTAATTGACCATTGGATGGAACAAATGAAATACAAATCTCCCCTGAATCAAGCTTTTCCTTAATGAAGTGTCGGTCAATCTCTACATGCTTGGTGCGATCATGCTGGACCGGGTTATGGGCAATGCTGGTGGAGGCTTTATTATCATACAATAGATGAAGAGGAGCAGAAACATACTGACGTAATTTACGAAGCATGATGTGTAACCAAAAAACTTCACAGATATCCAAGGACATGGAGAGAAACTCGGCTTCAACACTACTCCATACCACAACAGATTGTTTATTACTTTTTCACGTGTCAAGATTTCCCCTCATGAATAAGTAATATCTTAAAGTTGATCGCCGATTATGGATGAACCTGGCCCAATCTGAATTCATTTAAATAGTAATAGAATGAGGTGTGACGCGAAAAAATATACCTGTGCCCGGTATGCCATTTAAGTAGTGGAGAGTTCTATGGACAGCTCTGAGACGGTGCTCATAGGGATCATGCATTAATTGATTCACAATACCTATTGAGTGACAAATGTCGGGGCAAGTATGGGTGAGAGAAATAAGTTTCCCCACAAGATGTTGGTAATGAGTCTTATTTACTGAAACCACATTGGATCATCAACTAATTTCTCATTGGGATCCATTGGAGTTGCCACTGATTTGCATACGAGTAGGTTATCTCTGCCAATAGATCAAACACGCTTGTACTGAGACAAGAATATTCCTTGAGATTACCAAACAATTTCAATGCCCAAGACGTACCAGAGCTATCTTAAGTCCATTTCAAATGAAGTTGCAAGAATACCTTTCAAAGACTCCAATGCTAGTACATCATCATCAGTGAGCATGATATCGTCGACATATACAATAAGGATTGCAATTTGGCACTGGAGGAATGTCTAAAGAAAAGGATATGGTTTGATTGGGTCTGAGAAAAACCATAACTCATTACCACTTTTGTGAACTTGTCGAATCCGGTCATTGGGGATTGTTTTAATTCATAGTGACTTCCTCAGTCGACACACTTGTCCACGGGAGACAGCAGAGTTAAAACCTGGAGGAAGGCACTTGTACACCTCCTCTATGAGATCCTCATTTAGAAAAACATTTTTGACATCTAGTTGGAGCGGTGGCTTATCCAAATTCACAGCAAGAGAAAGTAAGACTCGAATAGTGTTTAATTTAGCATCCGGATCAAATGATTCCTTATAATAAACTTCGTATGCTTGTAAGTGCCCTTGTTGTGTTAAAATGATCAAAGGGACAACTAATGTTGTTTCAATAGTGGATGGGAAGTGATGATTCGTCAAGGCAGTTGCAAATGCTTTGTAGGTCGGTGATACACAATGGAAAGAGACATATTTTTTTCATGGAATAAAGAGTACTTGCCTGATTACATACGTCATCAAGAGAACTCGCCTCCTCATTCGGAGCGGTGTCAGTTCTGGGGATGTCACTCAATGTGGATTCCTGGTCCTGTAAAGAGTTAGCGAGCTCCAGAGTGGGAACATGAGTACGCTGAGTATAGACATAGAGGATGGGAGGAGGTTCTGATTGTTTGGTAGGTGGCGAATCCAAAGGGACAGAGGGCTCCTCAGATATAGTGGTTGGAGACATATCCACAGGTGCCAGATACGGAATAGTATTTAAGAAATCAAGCTCCTCCTCACTTGGGGCAATGTCCGAGAAGTAACAAACTCTTTCAAAGAAGGAGATATCAACATTTACGTAGAGTTTATTTGTGGTAGGATCAAGACACCGATGACATTTTTGAGTGGAAAAATATCCGAGAAAGACACATTTTATAGACCTGAGATTGAGCTTACTTCGATTAGGGGTAGTGTTTTGAACAAAAGCCGTGCACCCAACAATTTTGGGTTCAAGAGTGGTGAAGAATTGATTGAATGGGAAACAAGATATCAAGATGACTAATGGAGTTCTAAAGTTATGAATTTTTGTGGGAATTTGATTGATGAGAGAGGTGACAATAAGCACGAAATCATTTCAAAACTTTTTTGGGACATTAGATTGAAGCATAATGGTGTGAGCTACTTTGATAAGGTGTCGGTTTTTCCTCTCGACCACATTTTGTTGAGTGTCCGTACATGAGATATGATGAAAATGTCGTTACTTACCAAGAACTCACCTAAAACAAAGTTAAAATCTTCACGGCCATTGTCATTTTGAAGTACTTGAATTGAAGTTTTAAATTGGGTCAAAACGAAGAAGTGAAAGTTTTTGAAGATGGCGATATCTTCAAATTTATATTTTAAGATATATACCCACATCATTCGAGTGTGGTCATCAATTAAAGTAAGAAACCATCGTTTATTAGTGTACTTGGGAGTGTGAGAGAGTCCCCACAAGCTACTGTGAATAAGAGAAATAGAACGGAAGGTGTGTAAGGATGTGATGGATAAGGAACACGATGCTGTTTAGCTAATTGACAAATCTCACATTTGAAGTTAACAAGATTTTTATTTGTAAACATAGATTGATACAATTGTTCTAAATTCTGAAAATTGGGATGACCTAAACGATAATTAGCAACACAATTCATGTCTCGTGTTTGTTTACTCACAGATAACATGCTACAATTCAACAGAGGGACATATTACATAGATTTCAAAATTAGACCGGTTGTTAACACAATTGATCATTTATCGGCAATAGAGTTACACGAGTCATCAATAATTTTAACTGTATCTTTCTTAGAGCATGTATAGTATGTTGAGAAAACTTGAGAGCATCAAGTTATGTGGTCCGCAACACCTGAGTCAATGATCCATGAACTAGAAAAAAAGTGCCATAGGGATGATAACTTGACGGACGTGGGAGGCTGATGGTCCAGAAGTGAACTGATTGGATTCAACTAGCTTGATTAATTGCTGCATCTGACTTTTAAGAGAGTCGGGTGATTCCAGAGTGTTTCGATTGGGAGCTAGTTGTACCTTAGTAAATTCAAATGTCGTAGTAGTCAGGTCCTTGGCAGAGAAGGATTTGGTTGAAGGTTTGTATGCCAGTTTTTCATAAAGTTTCTAG